CTGGCACTTGGTCGATGACGGCGTCGTCCTCGAAGGTCTTGACGACGTCACCGCTCGGGCCGTAAAGCTTCGCTTCGAGCTCGCGCTTCTGCGGGAGTTTGGAGGAGGCGGGAGGCGTGATGCACACCTCGATCAGAGGAGGTTTTGGCGGGACCCAGTGTCCAAGGCTTTTGCCGCCGTAGTTGAGCGATCCGCAAATGTGGGCGGGCAACTCCGCCAAATTGGCCCGCCGGGTTCATCTTCTAGCAAATGCGGCCCCGTCGCGGAGTAAGATATCTTACCTCTCCCCGCTGGTGCTCTCAGCTCTTGGCCAAGGTTACCGACGGCAAAAGCAGTACCTTTGGCAAGAGACCAAGAAGAAGAAGGCCATCCCCTGGTTTTCTGCCAAGGCGCCCGGCCCTTCCTTGCCCTCGCCCTCGCCCTCTGCTCGCATATGTGGCCACTCCAACCTCCCCGCCCCCCCCCCCTCCCGCCAGGCCAGCTTGGGGAAACTATCAGCTCTGTGACCGTCACCCCGGACACCAAGAACAAGCCTTCAAGAAGAAGAAGAAATGTCTCAAAATTTTCGAGATCTGGGTCGGCGAGACGGCTGGCAACAAGCGGTGAAGTGCGCGGACCGTTCGCCTGGTCAGTCATCAAGCAGGGATCAGTCACCACGTCGACAAAACAAAAAAAAAAGAAAAAAAAATTAAATATTCTTAGCTTCGCCCTTGCCTCCGACGCTGGGGACAGTCACCACGGATACATACGTCCGTGGGAGTGCCCCCCTCCCCCACCTGCCCTGCTTACACAGGATAGCATGCCCCGAGAACGGCGGCATTTGGCAGGGGTAACCTGGGAAGGAGGTTTGGTTGTGCTTTCTTTTTTGCTCTCGAGGGAATGTTCTCTCGACGCCACTGGCCTTCTGAGGTTTCGTACTGGTGACGTCCTTCTTGGCACTTCGGGCGTCGGTGTGTGTGGTGAATTCCCTCGGTTTTTTAGTGTGTTTGTTTATTATTTTTTTGGCTATATCATCGGACGTTGAGTGACACCTCCTCCAGTCCATCATCTATGCTGCCAACCCGAGCCGTCCGCCGCTCGAGGATCGAGTGGCCTCCGGATCGAATCGGCACCTTGACCCTTATAATTTTTTTCACACCTGAGCGGGCCCAATTTTGCTCAGATGCACCTCCGAATTCGAACTCACGTCATCACGCTTAGCGCTTGGTGTGTGTCCGTTTTTCGTCACGGGTCCACGTCGACAAAACAAAAAGTCTCTCTCTCTCTCTCCCACGTCGTGCGCCGCTGCCAAGTCCAAGTGCGTCTGCCGCCCCGCGCGCTGTATCAGGCGGATACGGCGAGCGGACTTCTGGAGGAGGTGGTGGCTATGACTATGGACCTTTGCGAGAGGTGGCGGAGGAGAGCAGAAGAAAGGGGCTTGGGAAGGCACCTCAAAGGGGAGGCCCCCTATTGCGCCGCTGTCCCCCGTCCTTGCGATTCTTGCAACTGATCGGGTTTGGAAACCTCTTTTCACAGCCACGGCTTCTCATGTCCCAGACCTTGCGAACGGCGGCTTGCGTGACGCTCATTGCGAGTCTCTGCAGGCAGACTCGCCCTCCCTCCCGTCCTCGCACCGCCCCTCGTCTGCCGCTCAACGGCCTCCACTCACGACTACCAGCGCCTCGCCAGCCCAAACTCACCCAACCACGCTCGCCACCTGCGTGCCGGGCGACGCCGCGCCGTCGCCGTCGCCATCTTGCCTCTGCTTTCACCAACCCACCTCGCCCCGAACCCGCCTGCCATCCATGCATGTCTGCAGCCCCGCCTGGCCCCTCTCACCCCCGCGCGCCTATCGTGCCGACAGGCAAGATGATGATCGCCGCGGTTGCCCTCGTGCTCGGATTCAACGCCAACGACGACGGCTCCTCGTCGACCTCGTCCGCACGCGAGCTCAAACTGACTCAGAGCCTGCTCCAGGCTTCCAGCCATGGCGCCTGCTTCAACCCCGCCGGGACCGTGAAGGCGGTCGCCACGCCCGTGGTGCCCAACAACTTGCTTTTCAACCACAAGACGAATCTGCTCGAGGCCGACGACCTGTCGAACGACGACCTACTCCTCCGCGCCAACGTGAAGCACGCCGTCGATCTTCACCCAGGCGCGACCGTGATCTTCGATGACGACGCGTCTTGCTTGGAGCTTCTGGAGAGGGCCGGTGCCGCCAAAGAGCTCATGCAGTGGTACGCCCACCCCGAGAAGATGCCCGAGCGCGCCCTCCCGCTCCCGGCGCACGTGCCCTACTACTCCGGCAAGTACCGCTCCGACCTCTGTCGGATGGCGCAGCTCTTCTTGCACGGCGGCATGTACCTGGACACCGACGTGCAGCTGGTGCGCTCGCTTGCGCCGCTTGCCGGTAGCCGGCTGACGACGGTGCTAGGCGAGTCGGGTGACCACGTCTTCCAAGCGCTCGTCGCCTCCGAGCCCGGCTCACGCACCATTCGCCGTTCCATCGACTACTGGGGTGAGTTCGCGCGAGGCGAGCGCGCCGTCAGCTCGCTCGTCGGCCCCGACCTGCTGCTCAAGGCGATCGAGGATGAGAACTTTGCGTCACCGCGGACCAAGAGCGGTCGGCTCGCGCTTCGCGCCGCCGGCGTTGAGATCCTGG